AGAGTCTTTAAGTTTCTTTGCTTGAATGTTTCTCTATACGAAAAATGTACCAAAATAATAAACATTTTTACTTTGTCATAAAAAATAATAAACATTTTTACTTTTATAAGAATACTGATGTCTCACCCTAGAAACACAACGGCTCCAAGATAATTTTTTGTCTCTTTGATTCGAACCTCTATTCATTGTCATTAAATTACAAAATCCTAACTAAAATTTTCATTCTTATATCATTTAACAGTGGTAAATAGTATGAACCATGGGATGATAATATGATGTGTTGGATGGATTTTGCGTTGTGTCTTACCAGCTTTCTGTACAATCTGTTGTTTGAGTATATAAACAAGAACATATTGTTTAAAGTGGAAAAGTCTTACCTCAGATAAGTTCGAAACAGAAAGGCTGCTTAATTTACTCTAGAAAGAAAAATGTTGTAGAAATTAGACTCTTGCATTTTATACTCATTATTCATCTATATGTAAAAACTTTAACTTTCACATTTTTCTCTATTTCAGGTTACACAAAGACACAACTTGGCAGCTTGTTTGGAAGGAGGAGTTTGATGCTCCGAGGAAGGCAATTATATTAGGCTACAACCCTACCCTATTAGACCTTGGATGTTTGTAGCTCACTGGTATGTCATTATAACTAATCTTTTTACTCTAAAAATAGCCATATTTTATAATTTCTATGGCTTTTTTTTAATAACTTGATTTTTACGTCATTTCAATTCTCGTGACTACTTTTATGATGGTTCATCATACGATACCCCACATACCCTTCAAAACTTCTGATGAGAACATTGTTGCGGAGTTTCATTGTATTTTTTGCATTGTAATATTGATGTACTACATTTAATTGTTTTCAGATGGTCTTCAAAGCATAAAAAGAAGGAAAAATTACAGAAATCCCACATTTTAGTTTACTTATTATCATTATCCCCTATAAGTTTTACAAATTTTCAAAATTCCTCATTTTCGCGCATCAGATTAGTGTATCTCGCGCATCAGATTAATGTGTCAGCGCTTATATTATTGTATCTCGCGTATCAGATTAGTGTATCATGTATAAAATGTAATATTTCTTACTTAACGATTAATGTATCTCGCACATCAGATTAATGTATCAGCGCTTATATTATTGTATCCGTTTGAGGGATTTTTGTAATTATAAATTTTTAAGGAATAGATTGTAATTTTACCTTAAAAGTATGTGATTTCTGTAATTTATCCTAAAAAGAATTTAACTACTTCAAATAAAATGTTGGGCCCGTGATGACACGGGCCATACTTATCTAGTACAAATACAAATGCATATATTTTCGTCTTGTACACTTATATTATACAAATACGATCTTCCACTCCCCCGTTTTCTTTTGTCTTTCTCTCTTTCTCGCTTTATACAAACACATATTATACAATTGATCTTTTGTATAATATTACTTAAGGACTTTTAATTAATTAATTAATTGATGATATGATGATGACGAAAAGTTGATTTAGTAGTTGTTTAATTAATTAAACATAAGTATTAGTTAATTCCATGAAATTTGGAATGAGGTAGCACAATGTTAGATGTTGTGTTCTCATTTGTTAGTGTTATATTTTATATATATATATATATACTACTTCAATATATTTATGTTATCATATTTCCTTTTTACACGTCATTCAGATGAATAATTTTAATAATGTTGACAATTAACATAGAGCGAAGGAATAGATAGATGCAAATTTAGTCAAAAGTATATTTTAATAAAACTTGTTAACTACTACTAGAGTTGATAAAAAACAGAAAATTGAAAGTTTCTCTAAGGCAAAGTTAAGGCAAAAACTTTTTGTATTGAATCTTAATAAAATAAAGAGAATAGAGTTTTGACTATTATTTCAATATATTCAATCTTACTTCAACTTGTCATAATACAAATCTTAATTTCTAATGTGTTTCTAACAAACATTTAGTAAATTTATAACACGTACCAATAACTTTTTGTTTCATTATATGTGAAAATATTAAATACAAAATTTAAGATACTAATTTGATTTACGATAGATATAATGTCTTCTCAAAATGAAATAAAACAGTGTAGGAATATTTTTTTCATTATATATGTGTCCAATAATTTTCTATTACTTTTTATTATTGAATAATTGAGAGGGGGTTTTGAGGGTCCCAAAAGGCAACATAACTACATGTTTATTGTGATGTTATTGTTATGCATTGCATTGCATTTGGTATTAGGATTTTTGGTTGATGAGCTTGAATTATAAGGTGGAGCCCAAGGACCGTTGATGGAAAATAAAATTTTTCTAGAGCTGAATTGCGTATATACTTTAATTAAATCAAACTTACCTATATATTTAATGGTTTTTAATAATATTTTCAATTGAAACCCCCAAATTAGCAATGTCTACCCTTTATATTTTCCTAGGCATCACCGGACACTAAAATTACCTTAAATAATTGTACTTTTAAGTTCGTTCAATTCAGATTAAGGAGACGATCGATATGATTAAGGTGCAAAGCTGAGGGATCATTATCCTCTGCAAGTTTTTTTCCCTTCTATTTTCTAGTGTTTTGATGGAGATTTGCAAGATATTGGATCCACTTTTAGTTAATTCTAGATAATTGTCACGACCCAAAAATGGACATGATGGCACTCGTCTTATCCCACCAAGACAAGTCAGCCTAAAACTCAACCATTACAATAAAATGCGGAAATTTCATAATCAACTCAAAAATATCCCCAAAATCTGGTTGTCACGTGTACAAGCCTCTAATGTGTTATAACAAAGTTGAAAGAAAATACATGTTTCAAATGACATTGTTTCTAGAATAGAACAAGATCATAATTAAGGAGAAAGAAGGTCCGCTGAAATGACAAGCAGCTACCTCACAAACCTCCACAAGAAGCGTCAGACAAGGAGAAGAGAAAATATCACAAAGGTCCGGGCTAGTAATCTACAAAAAAATGTAGTAGCAAGGGGTGAGTACCAAACCACACGGTACTCAGCAAGTAAACCTCTAAACACAAGCTAAGGGGATAGAATACGGGTACTCCTTACACCCCAACCGAACCTCC